TTCAGTCATTCAGTCTTATTTCGACTCCTCATAGCTTCCTTATAGTTTCTAGGTTCTTTGTCTAGACCTCACTTGTAGATATTAAGGCATAAGCTATAAGATCTGTATACCCAAGTCTTTGAGATGGCTTGATGACTCTCCTCGATCTATATCTTGATAATAGGTAGTCATCAATAATTTCCTCAACTTCCTCAGTATCTTCTGCTTATTCTTTGACTTCATGTGGGATACGCAATTCAGCATCAACACGCTTCACCTTAACAAGAATCTCTCCTTGTTCCAGCTCTTCGTCAGCATCATCAATTTTCTTGAAAGTCATCTCAGCTTCATTGAAAACTAAATATCGACTGGTGATACACCTCCTGTGACCTAACTCTAGGCATCATAGCCTATAAGCTTTGACTCCTTCAGGGTATCCCATGAAGATGCATTTCAGAACTCTATGTTCGACCTTGTCTTGCCTAATGTGAGCATAGGCCATGCAGCCAAATACTCTTAATTTGTCTAGATCTTGTGGATGTCCCGACCAAACCTCTTCAGGCGTCTTCATATCTAACGCAGTAGAAGGACATTTGTTTATCAGATATGTTGTTGTCGAAACAACCTAAGCCCAAAACACCTTCTTTAACCTAACACTAGTCAACATGCATCTAACTTTTTCCAAAATAGTCCAATTAAACCTTTCTGCCAAACCATTTCATTGTGGAGTACCTACAGCATTTTTGTGTCGTGCAATACCTGAGGCAACACAAAAGTTGTCGAACACCTCATTGCAAAATTCAAAGTCATTGTCGGTTCTCAACCTCTTGACCTTTATGCTAAATATGATTTTCGACCAGAGTCTTCCAACCTTTGAAATTCTCAAACATTTCATCCTTAGTCTTCTAGATGAATACCCATAACTTTCTGGAATAATCATCAACTATGGATAGAAAATACCTTGCGTCTGAATGTGATGGACACCTCGCAGGCCCCCAAAGACCAGCATGGATGTAATCAACGGATCCATGTGTTTTTTGTTTGCCTTTATTGAACTTTATTCTGCAAGATTTTTCAAGTACACAGGGTTCACAAAATTTCAGGTTTTCGACTTTGTCTCCACCAAATAGATTTTGTTTCCCCAATTCGACTAGACCCCCTTCAATGACATGACCCAATCTCAAGTGCCAAATTTATGTCTTAGATAAAGGTTTTGTGGATGCAACATTTATCGAACGACTTACGACTTTAGCCTCAAGGGTATACAAACCTTGTTTCTTCACACCTCTCAAGACTTCCTTCGAACCCTTCATGACTCTTAGGATACTTTTCTCTCCTTTAAAAACATATCCCTTCTTGTCGAATTCACCAAGAGAAATTAAATTTCTCTTCAAATCAGGTAAATAGCTGACTTCAGTCAATAACCTTATTGACTCATCATGGAGCGCGAATCTCACAGATCCAATACCTGCAATTTTGCAAGCTTTGTTGTTTCCCAGCAGCACTAATCCACCATCTTTATCACACAATTCCTCAAACACGTATTTTTTTTGGAGTCATGTGCCAAGTGCAATCTGATTCCATAATCCACTTCTTTCTTGAGTCGCTGCTTGAAACTACAAGGACGTCAGATGATTCATAATCATCTTGCACAATGGTTGCATTACCATTATCCTTTCCACCATAATTGTTCAGGCTTTCAGGGCACACTTTTCTTGTATGACCCTCCTTCTTACAGTGATAACATCGAATGCCAGATGCATCACTATTATAAGACTTCTGCTGACTTTTACCCTTCTTCTTGTTGAACTTTCCATCTCTCTTTGTGAATTTTGCCTTGACCGACAAGCCTTCACCAGTCGAAGATGACTTGTGCTCCTGATACATGCGTCAATTTGGATTTGTGCAGATCACTTTGAGATCCCCCTTCAAGTCTGCTCGTAACATCATCATCCGCTGACATCTTGATGACATACTAGCGGATTATGAGAGCCATCTGGTACCAGAGGAGTATTAGAGTATGTCAGCCATAAGTCAGTGGTCTTATATGGATGGTTACAAGACTAGGTTCTATAGTGTGTCACACCCTGTTATGACACCAGACGCTCCTGGACGTCCACCTAGGCCTGCTCATGAGGAGATCCTGGAGAATGAGCAGGCCAGAGATGACTATGTTAATTATGTGTTGTCGATTTGTCAAAGTATTATGCGGATTACGTATGAGGGTATAGAGTCTGAGTTATTTAAGAGAGGTGGCAATGATGCACTTGCCCTAGCATATTCCATTCTTACCGAGACACGAAATGCATTGGGTTATTGGCGACAGAGGAGAAGCCATGCGGTTATGATTGGGCATACACAGTAGGTTATGCTTTTATTTGTATTTTGTGATGTTTTAGTATTATTTTTCATACTTTAAGAATATTGTTTATAATATTATGAGTTGTTTGTTTAATTAATGCATTACCTTGTTTTAGATGTTCGTGTTTATTAATATTTGAATCAAATTATGACATTGTTAGTAGGATTAAAATGACTCCAGATTAAAAAAAATATATACAAACTTAAGACAATGTTTATGTCAAAGATGCATGTATGTAAGTTTTTGGAGATGCATATTCGAAATAAGCGTTTTTGGGAGATGCATCTTCGAATTTATCTTAAAAATATTCGCAGATGAATCTTCACACCAATTTTTGACAAAAATAAAGTGGTTACTTAATTTACGAAAGATAACGAGATTTAAAGTGCATCCGAAGATACATCTCCAAAAATACTTTTAAAAATAAATAAATTTTCAAAAATATAAATCATATTGTAAAAATAAGTAAAAAAATTCTTAAAAAGGCCATTAAAGATAAGAACCTTATTGTGATTAACAAAGGGCAAAAAATCCAACTAGGTTTAATCCAATAAAATTAAAGAGTTTTAGTTTTTTTAAAATAATAATAATAATAATAATAATAATAATAATAATGATGATGATGATGATGATGATACATTTACTATTTATTATAAGAGAAAATATGTAAAATTGAATAATTAATAATTTTAAAAATAATATAGAAAACATTAAAATTGGGAGAAAAAATAAGTTAGAAAATATTTACAAATATTAAAAACACAACAATTAAAAATAAGGAATCAATACGATGCATGAATCAAAACAATGTGAATAAGGTGTACGAATGGTAGATATGTTAGCAGGAATTGGACCGCCAGAATGGTATGTGCTGTGTTCAGAACAAGGCAGTACTGTACCTGCAAACACTTAAACTGCAAGCAACAATTTTATTAATATCATCATTTAATTCTATCATTTTACGTTTATGCCCCTATTGATTTTTTTGTATTTTATATTTTGATTATGTAGGAAGCAATGGTAACACATGATAAGAAGATCCAATCAGTTTGTAGTGCTCTCTCATGTTTACTTACAAAAGAGACCGACCTCCTCTCAGTTTGCACGTGCTTTCTTTCTAAACTTCATTTTAGTCATTTATAATATATGGAATCAAATATCATGGTTTGAAACAGTCATAACTAAATTTTGCATCATCTATTTGTCTTTCCGTTAGACGATCTCTAATAGGAATTATGATAGTTTGATACACAATATTTTAGAATGTGACAGTTTGATACATAATATTTGAGATTGTGACATTTGAATAAAAGAATTAATTATTATAGTTATTAGGATTAATTTATACAATTGTGCTTATTTGATTTCTATTGCAAAAAATTGAAACCATTTAGGACAATTTGATTGATGATGAATGAATAGAAAGGCAATAAAAAAAAGAAAAATGACAGAATGTCAGAAACCCCACAAGAGCAGCACGAGAAGAGCAGAGGCCTGGGTGCACCTGCACAGCACTGCATCTCTGAAATGAAAAAATAAGGTCAAAGTGTAAGTGGAGGGTCTGAGTTAAAGTAACAGCAAAAAAGTTAAAGAGTTCAGTACCTAGCTACTAGCTGCAGTAAAAGCTTCAACCGTACTATAATCTTCTCACACAGACACCACAGTTTTTGCCTTCAGAATACTACTCACCAACAACTCTTTAATACGCTTTCATAGTGCACTGCACACTGCTAGAAATAAATTATTCTGACTACTTTCATGCCTCAGGTGGTCCATTATTGTAGTACTTCAAAATTATTTTAACTCTAACCATGTGACAATATTAGACAACATATTAGATCAAAATTCATAATTCTATACATATTGTTTATTAGACAACATATTAGATAAAAATTCATAATTCTATACATATTGTTTTATTGATAATTGTATACATATAAACCTGACTCAATTTGGAAAGACTTAATCTAATTCACTTTTATATCAAATTGATTGACATTCGAGTTTTTGTAGGAGAACGCGCAATTGAATTGAATCGAGTCATTGGCTCATTTTAATGTGATTTCATGTGATTTTTTCATGTGATTTGGTTCAATTTGACTCAATTCCAAACATATACTAAGTGAACCGGTCTAATTCAATGGTCTTTGTCATCTGCATTATACTCGTTGAGAACCATTTTAATCACAATATATAAATTAAGTTTGTTGTCATAACAACTACAATCTGATTAACTCATGCAAAATTACTCGTCTCAACGAAGAATTTTGCATTAACACATAATCAATATTTTATTTCACGTTAAAATACATAATATTTTTTATGTAATATAAAAGCTATTATGTCTTTATTGATTATTAGTTTATAGATTTCCGTAGAGATGTCAGAGAGACAAGAGGTGGCAGTGAGACAGGTTAGCTGCTGCAAAAGCAGCAGTGAGCAACAACAACAACAGAACACAACCATTACTTTTATTATATCCATCTATTCTACAGAACAAGATTCTAATCTAATGTTTCCACTTCCTCAATCCTTAATAAATAAATATACCTACTACTACACACCTATTCTATTATCATCCATTATTTATTACTATTACCATTACCATTACCTCTCTCAACTCAACAACTTGTCTTTCATTTTCTTCCTACTATTAGCTATGAACAAGAACAAGTTCCCTTTTACTCCTTCTCAATGGCAAGAGCTTGAACATCAAGCTCTTGTTTACAAGTACATGGCTAGTGGAATCTCTATTCCACCTGATCTTCTTTTCACCATCAGAAAAAGCTTTTTGGACTCTCCTCTCTCTTCAAGACTTTTGCCTAACACCCAACAACATCACTGTAAGTCTTTCTTTTATGGTTACACAGTCAAAATGCTATTTGAATCCAACTTTCTGGTGCAGTTGGCTGTAAAGAGTTTGTGTGTACGGCCAACTCCACTTTTTATGACCGACTCTCTAGTGCAGTTAGTCGTCGGTCTCTCGACGATCAACTGCACTCTCTATGACCGATTTTCTGATGCAGTTGGATCAGAAAAGTCGGTCATAGAATATAGAGGTAGATGAAATTATTCTTTTTAACCAATTTTTTTTTGTTTTTCAGTTGGATGGAACTATCTGCAGATGGGTTTGGGAAGAAAGATAGATCCTGAACCAGGTAGATGCAGAAGAACAGATGGAAAAAAATGGAGATGCTCAAAAGAAGCATATCCAGATTCTAAATACTGTGAGAGACATATGCACAGAGGAAAAAACCGTTCAAGAAAGCCTGTGGAAGTTCTGAAAACAACAACAAATAATGCTTCAACATTTGCAAACTCATCAATCACCAAAAATAGTTCTTCTCTGTCCTTTGATACACAACAACACCAAAACTACCCTCAAAATTCTATCTATGGTTCCAATTTGCAACATTCCTTTATGTATCCTCAGACAACATCAAGGTCATCAGCATCATCTGGTATCGGTTTGTCATTTGAAGACAATAGTGCTTCCTTGTTTCTTGACAGTAACTCTTGCTCTCAGAATAATGGAGATTACAGGTTCTTCTTAAAACCATGATTTTTCATATGTTTGAGATTTTAATCAACTCTATAATAAAAAAGTAATTTTGGAGTGAATGGTCATTTTGTTATTTGAATGTGTAGTTGCTGTCATGTCATTATAGTTCCTATGTGTGACAAAATTAGAAGGAGATACTTAAATGTGTCTTTTGTTAATTGGTTGGTTTTTGTCTTTTGTTGTTTAGTTTGTTGTTTGGATTTTTCTTCTCTTGTCAATTTGATTTATAAAATTATAATTAAAATACATATTTAAAACATTAATTATTTTTGAAGTGTTTGTGTATTGTGATTGTGTTTGATTCTTTTAGTTATCATTTGGTAAAAAAAGGAACAGGTATGTGTATGGACAAAAAGAAGAGGTAGATGAGTATGCGTTTTTCAAAGAACCTTCCGGCAGCACTACTATGAAAAGCTTCTCTGCTTCATCAATGGAACATGATCCTTGGCAACTAACACCACTCACTATGAGTTCATCCTCGTCCTCTTCATCTCTGAGACAGAGGAGCTTTTCTTCTCTGTCCAATGATTACTCTTGCCTGCAACTTCAAAGCTTGAATGAACACTCAAAACAGCAAGAACAAGAAGAACCTCAGAAAATTGTTCATCGCTTCTTCGATGAATTGCCGCACAAAGGGAGAGACCAATGGCTTGATTTGGACGATAAATCATCCACTACTCAACTCTCGATTTCTATTCCTTCATCTGCTCATGATTTTCCAACTTTCACTTCAAGAAATCAGCATGGTGAGTAATTCAACTTCTAAATTGTTCAAATATGAAATATCAAAATTGTATATCTAAAAGCTTGGTGTTCTTTTGTAGATGGTTGATCAAAGTTTTCAATAATGTGTCTCTATATGTAGCTGAATAAAGGAAGTTGCAATGGATTTGTGTGGCCATGAGAAGATACAATGACAATGTGTAGTGTGGTGTGTGCTAATATAGTTTCTATGTTGACTTCTTTCTTACTTCCAAAAAAATAGTATGAAACTCTCTTTGTGACAACACCCAATCATGTTAATGGCTGGACTAATATTCACTAGCACAAATGTTTTTACTGTTTTTTCTTTTAATTTTATATTTTCCTGTTTTTTAATATGTGCTATAGGGACAAATGTTAAGACCAACCATTATTTTCATATAGAAAAAATGTTTCAATGTATTTCAATGTCCTAAAATTAGGATTAACTTGTTTAAATAGAAATAAATTTAAATCTAATGGTTTGTTTAATGAATCTCTTTTTTGTTTAAAAGTAAAATCACAAAATATTATTATTTACAACACTCCTTTCTCAAGTTGATGAATGGATGTCGATCATTCCAAATTTATAAACAAGTTTTGGTTGTATGGTTTTGTTAGTAAATTCTTTGTTAACACATCTTGCACCTAATGTCCAAAGCGTATGTAGGGCATAGTTATCAAGCCACAAAATATATATATATATATATATATATATATATATATATATATATATATATATATATATATATATATATATATATATATATATATATATATATATATATATATATATATATATATATATATATATATATATATATATATATATATATATATATATATATATATATATATATATATATATATATATATATATATATATATATATATATATATATATATATATATATATATATATATATATATATATATATATATATATATATATATATATATATATATATATATATATATATATATATATATATATTATAAAATGCCGATCAATTTCAATTTATTTTGTCATGTTAAATAGAATTATGTACAATTTGGATAGCTGGTTTATTGTCATAAAACAAGTACAGAAGGCATTCGCGTGGTATTACTAAATCTTTTAACATTTGTTTTATCCACAGCAATTCACAAATTTTTAGTGTCGTAGCTTTGAATTATACTTCAGCGTTTGATCAAGCAATTCCACCATTTTGCTCTATACTCTCTAAGCAACAAGGTTTTGACACAAAAATGTATAATAGTTTGAAATAGATCTTGTATTAATCACTAAACCTACATAACCAACACCAATGTAGGTCATCATTGTTATACTTCCATCTCTTTTAAATTGGAGTTTTCTTATTGTAGTGGCCTTGCGATATTATAGATCACAGTTTATAAGTGTTTTACTCTTAGCTCATGCATTAATTAGCTCATGCCATTGATTGCTTATGCCAAATATATTCTAGTGTATGCCGAGTAAATTAAATTTTTCATTGACCTTTAAACTTGACATTATCAACTTTGAGATTTTCCTCCTTAAAAGTCCATCTTACGAATATTCTTAATGGAAACAGTTTAGGTTTGTATTCCGCATTTCCTATTTTTTCAGTTCCCAAGATCCTTTCATCTCAAACTCAAACTCTGTTAAAAAATGATTTTTAAGTAGTTCTTTTTCAGTCAAATCATTTCCTATAATAATATCGTCAACATGAAGAAGAAGTACACTTTATTTTCCTTCTTATGCATGTTAAAAAAACACAAAGTGTGATCTCTTTCTCTTTGCTTATATCTCAAACACAACTTTTCCTTTGTGTCAATATTGAGTTTAAGGAACTCAAGGCGAAGCATCCCCACACTGTGAAGGACTCTGCACTAATTAAAAAATCAAAATTATGATTTTATGAAAGGTACACGGGCATGAAACTGATGATTTTATGATTATTTCTTCTAACCAAGTGTAAATGATCATTTAAGTCAACCTTGTTAACTTTAGTGCAGATAATTTATTGTCTTCAAGTGTAAATGGTCATTTTGTCTCTTTTAGGGGAAGATGATCGTTCTTCTCTAGTATAAATGATCATTTAAATTTGAGGTCTAGATGGTCAAACTTGTTCTAAATGATCATTTCTCTTGCAAACAATATGTATTTATTTTCTATAGATGATTGCAAATATACTACACATGGAAACAAACACATCATATTATCAATTGTTCCTAGTTATATTGCTACCATCAAAACTCAATGAATAAAGGTTTTTATTTTTGAAACCATGTTTGATTCAACAAAGTGATCAGTGACAACAACCACTCAAATTTTGAGGTATGTTTCTTTAAAATCCAAATGCCAAATAAGTGAATAGGATTCAGATTTGTTGACTAGAATGGAATATTGCAAAAGTTGGGGTTGAAGAATTTGTATTGGAAGCAAGATTAAATATTCTAGTTCGTCTTTTTGTGAGACGTGATTTTTCCTTTGTGCAATTAAAAGCCTTTACTTTGTTTTTCCTTGTGTTTAATTGTTTTCATATTTTAGCCATTTAGGTGATTTTTCGCAGTACAATAGCCATAATTTATCGTAGTCATATATCAATTGCATGGTGGAGACCTTTATCACCAAATATCAAACAAAAGAAGATTTAAAAGTCCTAATCACTTTTTATTCATAGTAAATTTTAATCCAATTTACTTTCTCATTTGCAAATCCCAGTTCTTTTATTCATAGTGAACTTGTAATTGCTTAGTTTCATTGTTAATATCAATCATTTTGGGGATCATAGTCTTATAGCTGAGAAAATGATATTTCATGTTCACATATCTCCTTGCAATGTAGTGAGGGTTGTATGGATCAGACGAGTTTTATTATTTCTTCAAGTTGTCAGAATCTTGGTCCAATTCTTATTAGTAATAATTCATATTTTATTATATTACTTTCTTAAGCTCATAAGTTTGTTAAAGAGTATTTTAGTATTTATCTTATTCTAGTAACCCTAGTTTTAGCTTATAAATAGGGTGACAATCATTGTAACCAAATATCATGTTTTGTAGCCGTCATTCTCTTTAATAGAATATTTTCCTATTTCATCATTTATTCTATCTTTGCACCAACAATTGGTATCTAGAGCTCCGGTTCAGATTCATTGGGAAACACGGGAAACACGAGTGAACGTGAGGTCTTGTGTGTTTGATTTTGTTTCTCAGATTCTTGTTGAATCTTGAACAAAATCTGATCAGAATTTTTTAATTTTGTGGGTTGGGAAACACTGTGTGAGAAAACTCTGAGTGTATTGTGCAAAGTAGAAGATGAACGGAAACGGCAACATGAACACCAAACTTCCAGTATTTGACGGTAAAAATTGGAATCGTTGGATGATCCAAATGCGTGTACTGTTTGGTGCTCAAGATGTTCTGGATCTTGTCACTGATGGTTATGTTCTGGTAGCAGCAGATGCGACTGATGAACAGAAAAACGCGCAGAAGGAAGTAAGGAAGAAGGATCAGAAAGCATTGTTCTTCATTCATCAATGTGTGGATGTAAACGTGTTTGAGAAGATTGCAGACTCTACAACAGCAAAGGCTGCATGGGACACTCTGGTGAGATGTTATGGTGGTGACGCATCAGTGAAGAAGGTGAAGCTTCAGTCCTTGAGAAAGCAATATGAGAATCTCAACATGAAGAATAATGAGAAAGTTTCTGAATACATCTCCAGAGTGATTCTGATCACTAATGAGATGAAGGCATGTGGAGAAACTCTTTCTGAAGAAACAATCATGGAGAAAGTGTTGAGATCCCTTACTCCTCAATTTGATTACATTGTGGTAGCAATAGAACATTCCAAAGATCTGAGCACAATGAGAATTGAAGAGCTGCAGAGCAGTCTAGAAGCGCAAGAGTTGCGTCTGACTGAGAGAAACTCTGAAAAGGAAGTAGAACAGCAGGCTCTGAAAGCAACTTCTGATAGGAGGTATCAGAAGCAGTCAGAAGCCAGGAGAAGATCTGATGGTGGTCAGAAGTCAGAAAGCTCAACCTCTGATAGACAAAAGAATGCTCAGAGGGGAAAAGAGAAGTATGACAAAAGAAAAATACAATGTTACTGTTGTAAGAAGTTTGGCCATTTTGCTAGAGATTGTTGGTCAAACAAGGAGAAGAAATCAGAAGAAGCAAATATAGCCAGAGGCTCTGATGACGAATCTGTGCTGTTGATGGCCTTTGAATCTGATAATGTGGATCTGACAGACTGGTGGTATATGGACACTGGCTGTTCAAATCATCTTACTGGAAACAAGAAATGGCTGGTTGACTTTGACTCTGAAAAGAGAACAAAGATCAGATGTGCTGATGACAAATATCTTAATGCAGAAGGTATGGGAAACGTCAGAGTGACTATGAACAATGGGAAAATAGCATTGATTCAGAATGTGTGGTATGTACCTGGCATCAGAAGCAATCTGATGAGTGTGGGACAATTAATTGAGAAAGGTTTCTCAGTTACCATGAAGGACAATCTTCTGAATTTGTATAACTGTAATCAGAAGTTGATTATGGAGTCAGAACAGGGAAGGAATAGAACATTCAAGGTGAATGTCAGAACTGCAGACTCAGAGTGTCTTAGTGCAACAAGTACTGAGAAGGAGAGTGAGTTGTGGCACAGAAGATTTGGTCATTTGAATTTCAGAAGCTTACAACATCTGAATTCAAAGAAATTGGTACATGGAATTCCTGCAATTAAGAAGCCTGAAAAGTCATGAAAAGTTTGCATGGAAGGAAAACAACCAAGATTGCCATTTGCATCAGAAGTTGCTCCAAGAGCAAAACATGCCTTGGGAGTTGTACATTCTGATGTGTGTGGTCCATTTCCAGTAGCATCAATTGGAGGGAATAAATACTTTGTGTTATTTGTTGATGAATTCACAAGAATGACATGGGTATCCCTTATTAAGTTCAAACACGAGGTGTTTGATGAATTCAAGAAGTTCAGAATGAAGGCTGAGAATCAGAGTGGTCAGAAGTTGAAGATTCTTAGAACTGATGGTGGAGGTGAGTATAACTCCAAAGAGTTCCAGAAGTTCTGTGAGGAGAATGGAATTGAGCAT